TCCTTGTTTTGTGTGCTGTATTGTCTTGCAAGACGGTGTAGCTTCCAGTTTTTTTATCATTTTCCACAAGGGCAGTGTACGGTGAGTGCCAACTGGCTGCTGTTTTGGCAAAATCCAAGTCATTATACTGAAAGGTCAAGTGCCCACACACTGGAGAAATTGTGCAACATAACATCACCCACTGACCTAGAATTGGAGACTAAATTTTGGTTACCCTAAGAAGAGCCAGTTGGCGTCGCATAACCAAATTAAACATCTTGGAAGGACGCACCAAACCCACCGCGAGATGATAATATTAAGGGACGGCATGAAAACAGCAAGCTCATTGTGGTTTTTCCTCTTAGTTTAGATTTGTCTGCTATAGCAATAACTCCTCATATGTATTACATCATTGTGAGAGCCACGATAAAGCGACAGATTATGGCTCAATTTCAACTGGAACCCATGGTCTATCTCACCGTATACATGCATGGATATACCACGCAAACAAAACTAATTAGCTTCCATGGTTTCTATGAAGCCTGGCACAAAACCAGTGCAGTGTGGTCAAGGCCGTTTTATGGGAATTACAAAATAGGTTTGAGAATGTCTTTGACTTATCAGAGTGCTTGGCTATGGGCGCCAGTTGTTTACAAGACGTTATGACTTCATGCATTTGTGGGCTGTGACATGAAGCCAAAATGTATACCACGCAATTGCTTATTGTTTCGGATGCAGTTGTAATTAGGAAGGAAATATATAACCAGTTTGATCACAATACAAGCATAGCATAGTACCAACATACTATATAAATTATTTGTTTGTTTGATTCAATAATGTGTGCCAAAAAGTAAGCAGTCCATCCAGATTACGGTCTCATCTTGGAATGCAGTTTCATATCTGAGGGTGTTGCGTATTCATATGTCTACTGACCAATCAACACTCAGCTTTGATAAGAGGCAGAGGCTGCAACCAGTGCAGTTTCCACTGAACACAAAAGGCTTCCAGGCAGAATAGGACATACTGAATTAGTTGTTAATTCTCTAATGACTTCTTGGAGTGTAGTTTGAGATGGAGTCAAATTATTCAGGTGGGGATGGAATGAAGTAAAAGGCACAAGAGCCTAATTAAGGGGTGAAGGTGGTGCAGAAAACAAAAAAGTGTCGGCAGTAAAAATGTTGCCAAACCATTTCAAAGCTCCGTCAGGGAGCGAGCAGAGAGCAGGCCATTAAACTGAGGGTTCACTTGTGTAAAGTTGGCCCGAGTCAGACTCCCCACTTCCAGCCTCATTCAAATACACACAAAAGCCCAATATGTAATCATAGAAGGCATAAATCATGTTGTAGTGAGCAGGAAAGCCATACAATGCTGGGATGTATGTAAGATAGATACAATTGTACTTTAATATGTAAAGAATCACTGGTTTTAAAAGAAGGGAGCACATCACCCCTGTCTTAGCGTCCCTCCACTGGCTCCCTGTGCGTTTTAGAATTGATTTTAAGATTTTACATTCTTTATTTTAATGTCTGCTTTGTCTTTGTTGTGTCTTTCTTCTTGTGTTTGTTTCTGTATGTATCTAATTATTTTGACTTTGCATTCTGTTATTATTATTTATTATGCTGAATGTGCAGCACTTTGTAAACATTGTTTTTAAAAGTGCTATACAAATAAATTATTATTATTATATTATTGTTATTTCCTCCACCAGGGTAAATTGTAATCACCAGGGTTTGTTAGTTTGTTAGTTAGTGCAAAAGAACTCAAAAAGTTATGGGTGGATTTGTACAAGATTTTCAGTAAAGCTCAGAAATGGAACAAGGAACACATTATTAAAGTATAGAGGTGATTTTATTTATGTATAACACAGACAGTGAATATTGACCAACAGTGACTGTATAAGAAGCCTGAGTTAGCCAAAAGTGCTTTACAAGTTCTAAAAGTTGTTGAAATGTAAAAAGAGAATAATCTAGCACTAGTAAGTGCTGTGGTACTTCTCTTTTATTTCATAAATTAGTTTTGCAATCGATCTGTCTGTTTTTGATCACCGATTTCAGCACACCACTTCACTGTAACTTGATGAACGGAGCTGGCTGTAAGGTAAATCCTCAAACAGAAACACATGCAAAGGGGACATAATGAGGTGCACACTTTAATGTCCTGATTACGACTAATTCATGTCCTCCGGCGGTGGATTTCCCATCACTTCGCAGTGGTTGGGACAACAGTTTGGAATCTGGCGCTCGAAAATCAACACCCCTGAGGGAAAAAGCCGTCTCCAGAGGGCAGTTGTGGATTGGACCCTGGAAGAAATCAAAAAACCTCTCGTCTCGTCTGAAAATAGATGGATATGAACTCTCAAGCGGCTTACCGAGAAGGACATTAATGAAGAAACTGGCCTGAGGAAATCTCTGAGTGTTTTAATATATGCTCTATTAACAGTTGTGAATTAAAAAGTCCAACTTGACAGGTGGACTATAACAGCTCTATGTGGGAGATGGCCATACATACACTGTGCCATAGTTGGAACTAGGGGCCAACTCAAAGGCCACACTGCCTGCTTTCCACACTCCGGGCTGCCAACAGGATCCGACACTTATTGATTTCCTTCCTCCGAGAAAGACTCCATCTTTTCATATAATACTACCCACTGTGTCATTTTTCTCAACTTCCACAATATTAAAATGTAATGTTGGGCATTAGTAAAACAAAGTATTTTTTCTTCTCCTCTTTATGGGTTACATATGTGCCTCAGAAAGGATTACTGGCGAAATTCTGGAAGGAGTCTATACAGCCCACCGGATTTGTCCAGCCTTACAGCACAAGTGAAATAAGGTTTGTCACAGATTTTCACAAATTTGACCTATAGCAGTGCAACAGCGGTGCAGACGAGTGAGAAAAACAAGAAATATAGAGCCACGAAAATAACTAGAATCTTCAGCAAAGGTTGAGTCATCCTGTTAAGACTTACTTTTAGTACAACCAGAAACTTTACAGATAAAAACATAGCTACTACTAAAACTACTGCCCAATTTCGTCCAAAATAAAGGCTGTAGATTGCTTGATAAAATTATACTTTTGAGGCGAGATTGAAAATAATTACCAATCAATACTGAGAAATGTTCAAATTCACCCCTGGGTTTGATTGATTATAACTTATGTACATAGAGCAACAAAAACATGACTTTATCTATTTATAAGCAATTTCTGACAAGGACAAACTCTGGAAAATCTACATCAATCTAAAATTCCAACAAAGGTTTTGAAACATGACTTGGCAACAACTTTTCAAATTCTCTGGTAAAATCTCTCATTCAGACAAAATATATACACAAATCAATACAGAACTTGTGCATAAAGATGTAACATAATCATTTCTGTGTTGAAAAAAAAAAGCCAAACTTCAAATTACAGCCCTGGGCAACAACACACATCACTCTCCTCTCGTTGCCAAAAAGTTTGTTCTGTAACCTTTTTGCACTGAAACATCATGAATTTTAATGCTTCCAACTTTGACTCCCAAAACTATATCTACAGAGAGCAGGGAGGAGAAGATGTGGCCAAATCGACAGCTGAAACAGTGACCTGGATAAATCAGAACAGCACAAAGTTTTTGGGGGTAGCTGCTACCTCCAAATATTCCACCCAGGGGACTTCCAGCCTGAGGTATAAGACCCCATCACCGGACTCACAACGGGTATTTATTTTTGCTTGGGTGTAAAAATGTCTTGCGGGGATTGGTTATGGTAAAGCTATACAGGTCCTGGGAGGTCACCTAATCCTTCTGGGACAGAGACGTGATCCACTCTTGCTTATACTTCACACTCCGAACACAAACAGCAGATGCAAATCATGTGTCCAAAGCCAATCAGCCAATCAGAGCATCCCACCCACACACATAGACGCAAGAAGAGCCCCCACTTCCACTGATTATGTTTGTTGTCTCAGTGTTAGGTCTGTAGTTGGTCCCCCGCTGGCGTTCTTCAGCCCCATTATTATGCATAATGACTTCCATACCTAAAGTGCATTTTAAAGCTGTGTGTGTGAATAGCTCTAAGGTATGTATGCATTTATGTGTGAACTGTGGAGATGGGGCCAGAGCAGCAACAGTTTTAGAAGTGTGTGCCGCGAGGAAGAAACTGAACAGGTTGAAAGGCTTGGAGAAGTCAGGACATTTTCCAATTAGAAAGATTTGCTGTTGGGTTTGTAAACTGTGCAGGTTGTGAAAGCAGCGGGTGAAAGGTGGGGACGTATCTAAAGAGTATCTTCTCATCTTTCAGTCTGACCCCTGTTAAAACACCAGTGCCCTTTGCCTCAGGACTTTCTGAACTTTCTTTGGATTTGTTACATTTATTCATGAAGTGTTCCGAGTACAGCAGAGTAGTAGGGGAAAGTCATACCCTAGTTGGTATATGAACATTATTACATAGTTCCATCTTTTGTGGTTTAAATGTTGAGAACAACTTCAAGTTATTATTTTATTATTTATAGGATTCTGTCTACGAAAGCTTCTGGTTTCATTTCTCGCTTTGAAATCAGTTTTTTCTATCACTGGTTTTGTCCCCATGCATGTTATATAGCCACTGTCACAATGTTAGTTCAGACAAAAAAGTGCCAAAAAAGTGCCAATCCACTCTCAGCCCAAAGGGTCAAATAGTGACTCCCCAGGCTCCCCAAGTATGCTAGAGACAATTAAATTAAAATAGCATGTTGTGGTTTGAGTTGTTCACAACATTTTACTTTGATAAGACTCTTACTGTTAAGACAAACAAAAGGCATTGTTTATGAAGAAAAAAAGTTAGGTTCCCAGCTTTAACCCTAAATTTGCAATTCATAAAGAAAGCTAACCTGGCAACATTATAACAATGTTAAGTCTGTATAAAGCACGTGCTGCACATAGAGGTGAACGTGTCAAATATATTACTGTAATTTCAACTTTAAAATGCTGTTCAGAAAATATCCTGTTAATTATTTACAACCCAAAACAGCAGTGCAAACGTTGTGTAATGAAAAGCATTACTTACAGCCTCTCTGCGTTCCTGGGTATCCCTTTAGGCACAGTCTTCAAGCCCAGCCCCTGGCAGTCCACATGTGAGCCGGAGCAGCTGCACTTGTGTGGGCATCCATCCACAATCACAGCCAGGGCGCACAGCAGCAGCAGCAGCCCCAAGACAAAAGCCCGAAGCCCGCACTGCGATGCCCGTCTGCCCGGTCCGCTCCAGAGCATCGTATCCAAGTGCACCGCTATTTCCAAAGACAAGGGAGATCAGAAGAAGATTCCGAAAGTGGATAAAGCAGGCTGTACAATCCGCTGTGTAAAGTTTAGAAAAGTTGAACGCGTAGTTTTAAGTTCGTCTTTGAACGCCACCTGGCCATTGAGAAGGGGAAAATGTTTGCGTCAGTCAAATCTGTGCGTAAAAGTCTCCCCAAGTGCCCCCATTCACACACTGTGGATCCCGTTGGAAGTTATCAGCGCGTCTCACGGAGTTTCCAAGGTGAAAAATGTTTAGTTGCAGGGGTGTAGCCTCTCCTTCAAAAAGAAAATCCCTCCTCTGCCAGGGAAAGAGTGAAAGTTATCAAGGGAGAAAGTTTGAGAGTGTGGCGGTGTGAGCAGAGGAGCAGAGGCACACTGGTACACACTGGAGAAGTAGCGCTAAAGTTTGGCCCCCTTCAAAAACTCCACTCACTCACTCCATGTGATGTCACCAGTGAAGCAGAGGCAGCTAAACTCTCACTCTTCCCTTATCTTTACGCTGCGTACACTTTCCCACACAAAACAGAGATTTTAGCCCACATTTTGACCACTATTTCCCACCAATCTGCTGCGCTCTGTGGCTCATATATCAAACTAATGATCTGCCCGCTGATACTGATACTCGCTGTGGTTCATGTCTTTTTTCAGTAATTTCTCTAATGTCTCACCGTCCTTGGGGAATGAGTTGGCAAATGGGTAAGACGAAAAAATAGCTAGAATAATCCTATTTTGGCAAAACTTAAAACTTAGACATGAAGTTTAAAATGTTCAAAAAAATCGAAAGGAATCGTCATGTCAAGTAATAAGCAAATATCGCAAAAAGGATCATTAACAATATGTTGTGTACGAATTGAAACACATCCACGTGCATTTCTGAGTTTCCTCCATAGATCCATGGTTTCCTCCTCATAGCAGAAACTTCTTCAGCTCAGATTTATGTGGACCTGCTGCCCTTTGCTCGTTATAGTAATGCTGCCCTCTGTTGGTTGAGACACACATTGCCTTGTACTAATTGAGTCAGAATCAACATATACTTTTGTGAATAAATAACGATTAAACGTAAACATATACAATTAAATGTGCGTTTGTGACCAAAGTACTCTAAATAAAACCGAAGTTATTACATTAAAACATTCTATTTTGAACCAAGTCACATTTTGAAGACTGGAAACAGAATATTTAGCAAACTATGACATATTTCAGTTGTTTTTGATTTGTAAAATGTGAGATAAAAAGTAAATTTCCCATTTTAGTATCAGCAGCGATAAAGAGGAAGAGTTGGTAACATCTATTAACCTGCTCCATCAGATCAATAGCAGCTCCTCTGCTGTCTGCTCCCTGTGGGCTCCTTCAGAACATCTATTGATGCCCCGAGGCATGCTGGGACATTAAATCTGTCTGCGGGGTTAGCCCCTGGATCTATGAAGCCTGCTCCCTGCTGCTTGCGCACAGTGAGAGGCAAAGAATGAATTAAGGATGCAGTCTATTTTATTCAGTGTGCTGTCTTTACTGGATGGATGTTTTACAATTGATGGCACTGAATGTTCACTTTATAATGCAGCTTCAATTCCTTTTATGATGATATATTTGTTTGTTATTCTTCACCAACTACTATTTGATGTCTTTAAATAATTCTGTTTTTGGGTTTGTTGGCTGCAAGGAGTCCTTTATACTGTAATACATATCCAATTATATGTGGTGAAATATTGATATATGATTTAGGATCCCAATCTGAGGCATGCCGGATTAGACTTTAATATTGTTACAAATGTTGTAATCCCCAATAGAAGGTGACATGTAACAATATGAATAACAGCGTGACACAGGAAAAGCCATTACACACAAAGATGGCTGGAAACTCCTTGGGATTAGGAGCTTAAGAGGCCGGAGCATGAAGCACAGCAGGTCTGCTCTGGATCTGCTGTCAGCCCCCATCACTCCTACATCTCTCTTTCAAACTACATGTTATTCCAAGGATGGACAATGCAACGATAGTAAAACAATTGTATTTTCACTGCATTCAGGATATTGTTATATTTGCTTATAAATACCAGTTCTAGAAGCTTCCATGAACTGCGCCTATTTGTTTTGTTTTTTTTACTTGAATCTATAATGGCCGTCTGAAGCTCTGTAGTTGTGATACACATTTTCAAAGTTCAGTTTCTCATTTAATCTTTCCCACTTTTCTCACCATCTTCTATTTCCTCTCGTCTTCCATTGCACACATTTATGGGCAGATTTAGTATAATTGGTGGAACGTTTCTCACTATAGGGCTCTTGTATTTTTGTAACCGCTGTGATATCTGATGGCACACGGTGGACTCGGTAAACGTGTCTGCGTGTGTGCGGGCTGGACTGAAGCTGTTTGAGTGTGTAATTGTGTCTTTGGAGCACACCGGTGATGAACTACATCCCTTTACATGCATGTAAGTGTGTGTGGTTTCATGGATCCTTTGGCCAGACAGATCCTTGGCTTAGATCTGCTGTGGCCCCTGCAAAGCTATTATCTCCAAAGACTGTGTACACGGCTAGGGATAGAGTCGGCGTGGAAAAAGCAAAACTCTTAAAGGGAACTATCATAACAGTGTATGTCGGTTTCAATGTGTACGCACGACCATAATTGTGCTGCACTGGTCCACATGAGAAGAAGCTCTGGGCTGAAAAGGGGAATTCCTCCACAAACTATGCCTGCTTCATATGCAGAGCCTCAATCTTAACATTGCGTTGCTTACTTTTTATGGTTTTGATGAATCAATAGCAAAAACAAAAACTTTGAAACGTTGACTCAGTTTTGCCTGCCTCCAACAGTGAACAATGACAGAGGCAAGTTTTAAATCGAATATTGTTTTTCAAATATGCCACCCGCCTTGTGTGCTGAGAGCCAAGGACCAGCTCCAGCTCGTGGTCCCTGAAAAGGGGAGGATAGGGCCTTCTGTGTGGCCGGACCTACGCGCACAAACCCATGCCAAAATAGCCCCAAGTCTCACCTCTGACTGCCGTGGGGGTCTCCGTTTGTCTTTCATTTTTTTGTATTAATGTTATGGTTTTTGCTGTTGCTTGATTTAGATTTAGAGTGAGATTGTTGGTATCTGTGCAACACTTTGGAAACTATTTTGTTTAAAACATTCTCGAAATAAATAAAGTGGATTCAAAAGAAGTTGAGTAACAGAAAGTTAATTACATTAGTTTTGCAAAATATTATCTTTGTGGGATTTAACCAATATGCAACTGTCACAAATGTCTATATTTTACAGTTTTGTAACATCAAAACAAGTCTGGACATGTTGATGTGAGCATAATTTGCACATTTTAAATATATTCTATTGATATGTTTAATGCAAAGCCTCCACAGTGTGCAGAACGCAGTCCAGTCCACTCATGCCGTAGTATTCTGACAAATGTTCATTTAAACCGTGCCACATGTTCCTGCAGCCTCGTTGTTTCGTGTGGACTTTTTTCTGACTTTCATATTGTTTGATTGATGGTGTAATTTACTACAATATCAAACTGACATACACATGCACATAAACACAGAGGGCTGGGGATTATCATGAGCCCAAAGCACATGTGTGAGGACAGGCTCAGAGTGGCACCAGTAGCATGTTTTATTTCATATCGCAGTTACATTTATTCAAAAGTGTAAAGGGCGTTGTGGAGCGTGCTAAACTCTGCCCAGAGTGCTAGAATAAATATATTGACATTCTATTTTGGAATGGGCAGTGAGGGCTAAAGACAAAATGATTAATTGTGAATCTACACTACTGTTTAGATCCAGGAGCCTGTGCCAATCTGGTGAGGTCTCAAGATAACAATAATATAGTCTATGAAATCTCTTGTGAAATGTTTCTTTTCACAAGTCTTCACCCCGAAAACTGAAGTAATTTCAAGCCTGCACAGTGTTCTTGAGAAAATTATTGAATAGGCCCTGTCAATGTGGTCTGCATTTTAACATTATTCAAATATGAAGCATTTCTAGGTGGCATGAGTTAGTGTTAGGATGATGGGATCTTAGGCCTATGTTATTTCTTCTTGAACCTTTCTATACAGGTGAAACTCAGAATAATGGAATATCGTTCAAAAGTTAATTTGCTTCTGTAATTAACAAGACTCATTATACGCAACAAAGGATGCAATTTCGATGAATATGGATTACAGAACATTTTCTAAATATTCTAATTATCTGAGATGTTTTGTTTAGGGTTGTTACAAGCTGTAAGCTAAACCCGACAACAAATAAAAGCTTGATATATCTCATTTTGTGTTTCATGAGTTTTTCATGAATTCATGTCTCATTGTATGTATAATAAAATAATAATGATACTTTGTATGTGGAGACTTGAGACTTTTATATGTGGAGTGATTATATGAACATTTCCTTCAAGTGCTGCTATTTTAAACAAACATGCAATATAGTCTTCAGTCTCTCTGACAATTTTGTGTGTATAGCAAACTCAATATTCTAAGTTCAAACGTTGGTATTTCTTATACAGTATATAACGTATACTTTCTCCATACCCACTTTAATAACTTCAGCATGTTTCGTGTGCGCTCCTATGACAGCAGCAGTCAGTGGATATGTGAAACTTTGATTATCACAAACCAAAATGACCTTCACATGGTGAGCTACCACTTCTGTGTGATTCCTCTAAAGTGCCCCTCGCACATCTCCCTTTGTTGATCTAATTTAACACTTTGGGAGATCTGGAAACACTTAAGACGGCCAGAGGCACAACCGTATTTGTACTCAATGCAGGTCTTGGACTCATAAGAAATATGTACCGTTCATAATGGTCCAGTGTTTGCTTGATTTAAGCAGTAGGATAGGAGCTCATTAAAATGTGCATTAACTGGACCACTGATTAGCAGAGCGCACATCTGTAAATCTGACCCTTGGTTGGAGTGCTGCAGGCTATACTCAAAGAAACAGCCGCTTAAATCTCAACATGGTATAAGAGCAGTTAGTGCAATGTTCT